GAATTGGGCAAGGATCTTCCCACCACCCCTCTAAATACTAGCAGCACAAACAATGCCTAATCTGCAAAACCATCCTTCTCTGTAGATAGGAATCATGTAATAGCTTTGAGCACCTTAAATTAAAAAAAAAAAAAGCAAACCCTTGGAAGGCAACAATTTCGGTCATTTTCAAGTTTAACATGCCCAAGGCATATTTGGTGATTGCAAGGATCCTAACTGGCAAGTTTGTTGATTATCATATTGTGTGCTTGGTTTACTCGTTTGTAGACACATTTAAAATACTTTTCATACTACGTAGAGAAAAGTGATCAATTCAGAGCTCAAGACATCCTTGTTAGCACTGTCTATACAGCACCATTCCTAGAGCTTTTCCTGTTTAACGTTCACAGATGAAAAGTGCTTTGGAAAGAAGCTGTTGCTATGATAATCGATATGGGGAGAAACATACAAAATATAGCTTAAATGTATATTTAATACATGCACATAAATTATAAAAAAAAGCAGTATTATGGTATTTCAGACAGGACATAGCACCAGGTAAGAATAAAAAGGAGTCCTAGGTTGAATGAATTATTCAAGCAGAGGTCTCTTGAAAAAAGAAAAAGAATACAATATAAGCATCTTTATATCTTCTAAACAGTCATTCTTATAAATCACATAAATAATTGATTATTATTTTACATTCATTTTTCAACAGCATATTATGAATTATTTTGATTACTATTTTACAGAACAAAAAACACACAATTCAAGTATTTTCATCAAAGATGACACGGGGCCAACTTTTTCATTTAAATGCTGTATTTTGTCCATTCTTGGCTCAAGCTTTTCAATTTATTAGATTTCCCTGGGATATATTTTCCTTGCCTTGCAGCTTGTTCAAGTTTTTTGTTGACAGAACATGGGTTCATAATGGCCTTGGCTTAAAATACCTTCACTTGTCCTGTATGTCCTTGCTTTATCTTCAAAACACTGGTTAATTCCATGCCTTCCCATTCTCTGATTTAACTGCTAGCTTTGATCTTGCATCAATATATATACATTTAAGACACAGAGAAACACAAGGTACATACACATATACACTATATATATATGTATTATACACACACACACACTAGGACATGAACACAGTAATATATGCTCGATTCTAGTGAGGCAGAATGGTGTTACCAAGAGTACGAGGCTGGGAGTTAGTAACACTAGGTTGATTCTTGATCTGACACATGGTTGAGAGCCCCTGAGTGAGTCAAAGTCCATAAGCCTCTATCCCCCACTGCCCTAACTTTGAAATACACAATTTGAACTAAATGAGCTTTAAGAGGTCTTCTAGCTCTTTCAATCTAAAATACAGACTTTGTGAGCCCTGTCCATGTTAGGTCATAATGTAATTGAAAATGTTTTAGAACTCTTAGGACTGGTTTCAAGATACTAGTGAATATTAGAAACAAAGGCTTGTAGACTCTGAACCTACTTACTTCTCAACAGAGTAAAGCAAAGAATAGCTGTGATTACAGCATCTTGATCACTTAGCTTATTGTCACTCTTTCGATTGGAAATCCTTAAAATTGATTACAACAACAAAAAACACTTGCAAGCAATGTTCTTCAGCTGTTTGCTTTGTTTTGGTTTCATTTTTATGAGGAGATTGAAAAGGATATAAAATTGGAGGTAGACTGGGAATAAGATGAGGTGAAGATATTTAAGAATAATAGCCATAGCATCGTGACTCCAGAGCAAGGCGAACTGAATACATTTGGAAGAAATTATATGAAGTCCTCATGTGAACTACATTCCACACTGAGTGAACACATGCAGCTACAATAGCAATAAAATGCACGAGATGATTACATCGCCTCTCTCCAATTTACTCAGAAGAAGATACATAAGCTTTAAAATAAATTCACTTCATGGATAGTCTGAGATACTGGCACAGTAAAAACACCATGCATACACAGCATTGGATTTTGCTATAAACAAGACGATGCCAAGAACATCAATTTTTATCCCTCACTGCCACAAAATACAGAGATTGCAAAAAGCAATTCAATGAGGTGCTCGTTAATAGACATTTTGTTTTATGCTTCAAAAGGGAATTCCTTTTCGTTTTCGAAGAAACAGTTTGAATTTACATAACTCAAGCATTAAAAAAAAATCCTCTACCGAATCCACATTCCTTCTTGACCATATTCTGAAAAAGGTTAAACTTGTCAACACCATCTTAGCAATTTACATTTAATTGTAAAATGAATTTCTGAAAGCACTGAGAGAACACCCTTCTGGGAGGAATATTCTTCCATCAGGGTTGCCTAACCAGGGACCGATTCTTTCCCTGAACAAGACAAAAACAGCTTACAACTGAGAGAAACAGCCAGGTCTACGGGAGTGAAACTATTTGTCTGGAAAGCCCAAGAAATAGTAAGCATTTGAACATAAATGACCATGAGAAAAGAGGGCTAAATTCTTAAGGTTTGTACGGTATTTAAAAATAAAGCTTTGTTTCTATTAAGAATGCCCTTGGACTTAAAAAGAAGCAGTTTTAATTATGTTTATCATCCGCACACTGGTCCCACAAATTCATTTAATATCTGTCTCAACATGAAAATCCAGACGTTGAGGGAAACTGTATACTTTAAAGAGTAGAAATCATTATTCTTGATGCCTCTAAGATCATCACTTCTTTGGGGGTCAAGAAAAATAACCAGAACAGTGTTCAAAGCTGGCGCATTCAGAGACTAAAAAGTACTTCTTGCTATTTGTCCTCAGTGGTATCTCTGACTAACAAAAGTCCAGAAAATTTTCCTATTCCAAATTCAAGATCATCTCAAACAACAGAAAGCTCTAAATGGTAATCAAAGAGCTATAAAAATCTTTCCCCTAAAGGATAACATTGAGTTTCATGATGACATTTGTTTAAACAATAGAGAACTGAAATGTTTATTTTCATTATTCTGTAATTTTTTTAATGCATTAAGAGTTACCACTCATCAGATTTCTTGGATTCAAATCTCAGTGCTACTCAGCTGACCTTGGGCAAATACTTAACTTAACCCCTGTAGTCCTGAGCTATCTCATCTGTTAAATGAGTCAGATAATACCTCCTTAATGCAGTTTTTGTGAATGTTAAATTAGATGCTGCATGCAATTCAGTTGATATACTGCGCACAAACTAAATACCTGATCTCTGATAAATTATAAATGTCTAGATTACAAGCCCAGATGACCACTGTTTTTCCTGAAGGACTCTTTAACAACACAGTGTGAAAGCTATATCCGAATCAATACAAACTATGATAAGCAAATCATTACGACTGCTTTACAACAATTATTAATGAGAAAGCTAATTCCCATAGCATATTTCCTATGGATGCTCCAAAAGAATGGTACTTTAATTGAGGCTAATTTAGGTTCTTCTGCATGTTTAACAAAAGAGATTATCAAAGCAAAAGTATAAGGAAAAAGAATGGAAGATGAAAACGGGAGTTGTTTTCATAAATTTATGGAAAATTTTTTAATTCCATGAAATCTTAATTTTGCAACCCAATCAATAGTCTGTTTGACAATAGTATAGTACATTTTTAAAACAGTGTAGGTCATTCATTTTAAAAATTTATTTCATAACTTTCAACATTTTTATAAGGCTGATCCAAAATACAACATTTTTAAAATTGTAAGTGGAAGATTAAAATAGTCTCTTAATTTTTGCCTTTTCTTAAATACTAATGATATAAGTTCTTTTCCACTTTATTTTAAAGTACACCAATCATTGTATGTGAAATTTGTATATATAGCTCTTAAAATTTAAATTTTAGTGATAATGTCTTCTCCACTCTGCACATCACCTTATCATGAATTCAAAGAATCCCTATACTTAGTTATTCCTTATTATTTTAGAAATATTGGTACTTTGGGCAACTTTTTTCTCTAGCATGTCTGTTAGTTAAATAAAAAAATCTTTTAAAACTATGTAAGTTTTCCCCAGTTATGTGGTATTATCAGAATGTTTTAAATTTCTACCTCAAAAAAACTAATTTTCTCACAGAAGTATTAAGTATGATTTTTTAAATCATTTTTAATAGATTATTAAATTATCCATTCCATACACCTGATTAATCATCTTAAGATGGTATACATTTTAAAAATGCCCAGTGTTGATGGTTTTCATTAACCCAAGGCAAAATTAAAGAGGAAGTAAATCCAAGGAAACTATATGGAATAAAATAATGAGAGCAAAAGTTAATAAAACAGAATTAAACATAGATCTTAAAAAAAAGCCAAAAATTAATAAACTTTAGATGCGACTAAAATAAAGAAAAAGGGAAAAAACACAGCTAATATCAGGAATAGAAAGATGGGAATCACTACAGTTCCTAGAATCACTGAGCAGCAAATGAGAGTATATTATAATTTTAGCCCAATAAATTTTAAAAAATGGACACATTGAGGAAAACACAAATGGTCAATGTCTGTACGAGAAGGCACAGAACATCTGAGTAGTGTGTATCAATTTTAAAAAGTTGAATCTGTAATTAATAACCTTCTGGTAAAAAAATCTCCAGATCCATATTATTTATTTCTACCAAACATTTAAGGAAGACATAAAACCATTTTCACACAAATTTTTCTAGTGCTCAGAAACAGAAAATATTTAAGGAATTTCTTTTTGATACCAAAAAACTTGATTCCAAAATCTGACACCGCCCATTTATTCAGTTTCTTATATGATCTCAATAATAAATGGGAGGTGGATGGGTGCTGTGTTTAAGGACTGCAAAATTTCATTAAAACCATGAGCCAATAGCTACAAATAATTATCAGACAATTCACATCAGCATTCAACGTAATAGTTCAAAACAGAAAAAGAACAAAGTGGAGGAAACAGAGACTAGGCAAGGAGGTTGAAGTAATATATATATTTTCAAAGTATGTGTCTTTTAGAGGTAAGAATACAAACTGCAACCATGAAACAAAGTACTATAGAAAAGGAGTATATTATAGCTTACCTGGGCAGAGATGCCAGAGCAGAAACAGCCACCGAAACCAGGAACGAGTGTTGACGCAGGTAGGACAAACTGAACTGGAACTGACTAACTACTGGAGTGTGGACAACTCTTCCAGGGCCCCTAGTCACGGGGGGACTTTCACAGTTTTTTTTAGTTTTACCTCCAGGAGTTCAACCAGGGGATAACAGTAAAAAACGGAGAAAAATCACCCAGAGCTTCCAGCAAGGAGAGAGGAAAAGAAGCCATTTTGAAACTTCTTGCCCCAACACTCCGTGCTTTAAAAAGGGCTGCCCTCAGGAGAAACCAATTAAGCAGATTCCAGCCTGCTGGGAAACAATCAAAGCCTGATTGACCTAGGGAAAGGGGAATACCCAACTCTAGTCAGCTACTGCTATCGTGTCCCACCAGGGAGAAAAAAACTGAGAAACTCTTGTGAAGTTTATAGTCAGAAGCATAGGCTCACTAAAAAGGAAAATGTTTAAAAAAAAAAAAAACGGGAGGGAGGTGATCTTGAATACTAAAAGGATGGTAGAAGAAATAAAATACTCAATTGAAGATTTGGATGCTAAAGATGTAGAAACCTTCCAGAAGGTAGAGCAAAACACAGTATCAATAGAAAATAAATGTATTTATACTGTCAATTCAGTAAACTCTTACAAATTTACCATCTTTTAACCCAAAAACACCAACAAGGAAATATCTATGAATGTTAAAAACTTTTGTCTCCTGCCAAGAAAAAAAAATGTGTGCTTCTGTCAGCCGCAGGAGGCTGGAGAGGGGTCCGAGGAGGTGAGCTGCCCAACTGGAAGGCGTGAGGAGCTGACATAGAGCAAAACAGCACTTTACTGCAGTACAAGCGGGTGGCGCACCCTCAGGTGTACGCACTTGTCCTTTTATTAGGCCCGCGCATGCGTATTGTTCATAATGCTGACTCATGCTACTAGCGCATGTGTACATTTACTTCTTACCTCACACACATGCAAGTTACTGTGAACTCTGACCTGGGTCCCACCGTCTAGTCACTTAAGGCTGCTGACAGCTTCTATTTGCTTAAAAGTAGCAGCAAATCAATTGTTCGTTTAGAACAGTCTTTGTCAAGGTAACCCACAACAGAAAAACATACAATATAACCAATATACAAATAAATATATACTAATCTAAATGAAATAAAATTTCACAATATAATATGTACCTTTACTACATGCTATGCACTCTAGCCTATCCCATCCTATCTTGCTTAAAGAGCTAAACACTGCTCCTGAGTCCCCCTAAATTGATTTCACAACATTCTAGGTAGGACCATTCATTTAAGAAATACTGCCTATTTTAGACTTAATATATAATGAAGCTTGCTTCACATTTCCCTTTTTACTGTTTTTTCACTAGTGAAATTGTAGCAATACTATAGATTATTACTGTTTAAAGGGTTTTCAGAGTGTTGAAAAGATTTGGGAAGGAGTATTCTTAGAAGGAAGGAGCATAAATTAAGTTTATTCTGTTTTCATCTATATGATTTGCTTAGCTGAGATCATGCACAAAATTTCCAAATTACTACTTTCTCAACTTTAGCAGTGGTCCTTGAGAGCATTATCACTTTTTACAGTAACATGGATTCGATTTACTGTTAAAGTGGCCATGAGGTCTACCGCCAGCCTTAGCAGATGCAGCTGAAGCAACTCTACTCAGCCTAGAGGGGAATACAGAGAAAACAGCTTTTCTTTATGAAATCTAATGACCTAACGACCTACTTTACTAAACCTGTTTGCCAATTATTAACAACTTAAATCTACAGATCCATACATCATTTAATAAAGAAATGAGGGGATCAAGGATGAAGTAGCAGATTCTCTAATATCTACCCAAATTTCTCACAAAACTTAAAACAGTATTTTCATCTTTCTCCTTCTCAGTTATTAAGAATGCTACTTTTCTGATCCTTCCTTTCTTTATGCTTCTGAGTAAGTACATACCCACAGCAGCCCTTGCCTTACTTTTATGCCTCCCTCAGCATAGTATTTTTTTCCGGACATAACTGTGGCAACACAGTGAATTCATATCATCTGAGTGAAATTCTAGAATTATCTAAGGGAACACCAGTCCTCTTTAAGTTGATGAAGAAAAATTAGAGAGCAATAAGCAAGGAATGATAAGAATATAAAAAGATAAGATCAGAAGTGGTAATAATCTGAAGACAATCCAAATGCAACACAGGGTAGGATGGAAGTTTCATTAACTCCTCAGAATCCCCAGCGTCCTGCCTACCTTTTCCTTTCCTTCAGTTTTTAAGTGTGTGTTGGTCATTTTGTATATTTATTTTTCTGTTTCTATTTTCTCTGTTGTCTCTCACCATAAATTCTTCTGTCCTGCTCCTTCAGTTTAAAAATAAAAGGTATTTCCTATTCTATGTTCCTTAAAGAAAAAGGGTATTTTAGTTACTTTTAGATGATTTCCCTAAATTTACCATTTCATGGGCCAATTGTCCCAGACAGGCAAAAGTTTTCAACTCACTGTATACACCTATGCTGTCAAATACAGTGGCAAGAGTCACTGTTAAACGTAATTTAAATTTAAACTTAATTAAACTGAAAATAAATTAAAATTGAGCTCCTCATTAGTTGCACTAGCCACATTTCGTGTGTTCAAAAGTCACTTGTCGCCAGTGGCTCTGTGCTGGACAGCACAGATAGAGAATATTTCCATTACCATAAAAAGTCTTATTGGTCAACACTATTTCACACTCATCTTGCAGTATACCGAGAGGAACAGGGAATTCATATGGCTATCTGTGAACGTGAATTAAAGGCTAGGGACTCCTCAAGACCTGAAAAAATAATTCAATAATCTTTACAGAAATAAACAAGATTCCTGAAGAGTAAAAACCAGAAAACAAAAAGTTTCTGAAATGGACTGCAAACAGGTTGAATGATTTTTTTTAGCTCAGTTTACTGAATCAACTCACTGAATCGGTCCATGGAAACTTCTAAGTGTAGGTGTGCTACAAAGCTGTGCATGACATTCGAATCACCAGCGACAGAATTTATGAGAGAGATCTGAGAGGGAAGCACTATTTACCTGCTCTGGTTGGAAAATTACAAGTAACCTCTTGACCGTCCCTCTACGGTATGTGCTAAGAGAACTGTTTTCAGACCTCAAAAGAATTTGAGCCTCATATGCCATCTTGTCCCTTATAAACCAATTATTCTCACCATATAAAATAGGCTTTGGCATATTTATTAGTTCAATTCTACTCAATGAGAATTTATTAAATACCTCCTCTAAGCAATACTCCCTCTGGAGAATAAAAGAGGTGAGCTTAACAAAATCCTTTTGATGAGAATCATGGCCCAAGAGAAGTGGCCTGACGTTAAATAACTGCAAAGACACGTGAACCAGGTGAAGCACATGTAGAGACATTAAATTAAAATGCAGAGTCAAAAAAAGGGAAAACTATTTCCAAATTCAGGAGACCAGGAGAATGGCAGGAATGGCTTCACAAGGATCATGAAACGGCCTTGAAGATGGAGGAGTACCACGTACCACCCGGGCAGGTAGAAGAGCATGGGCAGAAAGCACAATGCAGGACCTGTGAGTATAGCTCCTTTGGCCAGAGCTTCTCTGAGTCCTGGTCACTATAGCTCTTGTGGAAGGTAACTGGGGACAGGTCAATGGGAGCTGTATTAAAGAGAGCCTTGAATAAATGGGTGACATTTATCATCTTTGATTCGTTGTTGTTGATGAGCAGAATTAAGACAGACAAGTCAGAATAAAGAGGTAATATAAAATTCTGTGAGCTTTCAGTATCCTGACAGTCCCATAAGTCTATGCCAGAGACAAACATCAACACACAACTGACAATGTTGGGTAGTTTACAGTTTATAAAGTGCTTTCATGTTCATGATCTCATTAAGTAAATCTTTAAAAACTATGTGAAGTAGGCCTTATTATCTCTATTTTATAAATAATGTTACTATAACTCAGATTATGTAATTTAATGCAACTCACAAAATAACTACCAGAAGATACCTTATTAAAAAAAAAAGATTTCCAGTTGACAAATGTTCTTATCTTTCCACACCAGTGATTCTCACACTGTTTTGGTCTGAAGACAATTTATACCGTTAAAAATACCATACTCCAAAGAGGTTTTATTTATATGAGCTATTTCTCTCAAGATTTATCACAAAGCTGAACATTTTATAAAATACTATTTATTAATTTGCTTAAATCAATAACAATAATCATATTACAAGCTAAAATTGTGGCATTTTTACCAAAAAATAACTTTCTTTTCAAAACAAACAAACAAAATTACTAGGAGGAGTAAAATTGTTCTATATACTTGCCAAGTCTCTCTAATATCTGGCTTAATGGAAGACAGCTGGATTCTCAGATGAGCTTCTGCTCAAACTGTCAAGATATACAGTTTTGGTTAAAGTATACAAAGAAAATCCAGTCATACTGATGGGCAGATGGATAAGGAAGGAGTGTGTCAGTAGCCTTTTTAGATATTCTGTATATTCATCTTTGATATCATGCCAAGAGCTCAATCAGAGGTAGTTCCTCAAGGTTAGCTCCAGTAGAATTTGAAACTATATCAAGCAATATTTTGTAATCTGTTAGTTTGACATACATTGGTTTATACTGCATGCTGAATGACTCCTTTACCATGAATGACAGTATAATACCAAGCATTGATCATATAGAAAATAGTGGTTCACTAAATCATGTTGGTTCACATTGATTCCAAATGTGAACATGTTTCTTTGCTTAAAAGAAAGAAGGCAGGAAGGAAAGGAAGGGAAAGGGAAGAGAAAGGGAAGGGGAGGACAAGGGAAGGGAAGGGGGGGAGAGGAGGGGAGGAGAGGGGGAGGGGAGGGGGAGGGAAGGAAAGGAAGAAGGGAGGAAAGAAAGATCAATCAATCACCAGGCTGGACTGCCACAACCTGTGCTCCATAGCCAAGAGCCAACACAGGCCCCACCTGCCCTGCAGAGTGGCCCCACAATAAATGGGGATAGAAGAGGCTTGGGTGAGTGATCTGCTGTGACAGATAAAGGAGACCTAAACTAACAGAGATGGCCATTTCTGGCAGTTGCACAGGTGACACATTGGAGGGCAATTTCTCTGTGGTTAAACCACCACAGCCTACAACCCATCATTAGCTGAGAGCCCACATGGGCCCCTCTTGCTCCAGCACTCCTCCTCTCTGGGGCCAGGGTACCAGTACTAGGAGAGGGGAGAGCACACACTTAAAGGGAACAGAGCCAGCCTAGAGCCAACCATGAGAGCTTCTGCTGCAACAACTTGAGATCCAGTCGCACCTCCAGTAGGGCATACTCAGCAGAGGGGGAAGTCCTGCTTACACCTGGCTCTGGCCCAAGCCCCTCCGTCTCCAGCTCCACTTCCTACCCAGGTGATAGCTGCCAGCACACCCTGAGGAAAGACAAGACTTCTGTTTAATTTAAATCTAGCTCTCCCAAAGGCAATGGGCACACACAAACTGTATGGGGACACTCCCACACAAGGGCACCCCTTCAAGACTGCAGTAGGTAGCCGTGTCACCTACATTTATAGAGACAGAGAAAGTTAAGCCAAATGAAAATAGAAGAGAACTGGCCTCAATTGAAAGAGCAAGAGAAAATCCCTGAAAAAATAAATAATGAAACAGAAATAAACAATTATCCAGAAAAATAATTCAAAGCGTTAGTAATAATGCTAACCAAATGAGGAAAAAGAATAGATGAACACAGTGAGAATTTTATTAAGGAACTAGAAAATATAAAAAGAACCAGTCAGAACTGAAGAATATAATGACTGAAATGAAAAACACACTAGAAAGAATGAATAGCAGACTAACTGATACAGAAAAATGCATAAGTGATGTAGAAGATAAAATAATGGAAATTACTCAATGAGGAAAGCAAAGTGAAAAATAAATTTTAAAAATGAGACAAGTTTAAGAGATCTTTGGGATAACATAAAGTGTACCAAAATTTGCATTGCAAGGATCCCAGAAGGTGGAGAGAGAGAGAAGGGGGTTGAAAATGTATTTGATGAAATTATGGCTGAAAACTTCCCAAACCTGAAGAAAG